TTTTCGGCTATTAGTTTTCCATCATATAAAACAACAATAGCTCGTGTACGAATAAGATTATTTGAATATTTTTCAATAAACATATTGTTAATAGCATTTTCTAATTTTGATTGATTGATATTTGATGGCATACTCTGATCATCTATTTTATTACCCATAGGCCATGGAATATCATCTTGATTTATATCAGATGATATTGCTAAATTGAATGTTTGACTACGAATTTGTTCTTCTGTTAATTCATTAATTAATGTTGCACCAAGTCCATTTCGACAGATTGCTTTTGTTTGAGCAAATCCAAATACAGAACTACTTACCGAGGAATCAGTATAATTTATATTATACGTTACATATTTCATAGAAGGAAAATCAAGATCTTCTTTACGTTGTTCTTCATTATGATCGCCTATAAATACGGCTGAACAAATGTATTTAGATCCATATCCACTAGTTATAGGTAGTAAAGCCCAAAAACGATGAATACCATAAGCCAATAGCACAGCACTGCCCAACAATATTATTCGTGTTATCATACTTCTTATACAGTCTTTGTTGTTTCACGTCTCTAAAACAATATACGATATTTTATTTATGTAACATACGGACATTTCGAATTTCAATAGAGGGTGTGGGTGTAGGTGTGATTTTTTATTCTCGAACACTCGACTTCACACGTACAGCCAGATTTTGAATTTCTCTTTTGTTTAAGTAAAAAACTTAGATCTTTGATTTTAATTAGCGATTTTTTCGCTACGAATTTGAGGATTTTTCGGAGAAGTGTTTTTAAAAAGCGAACAAAGGAACGTTAAAAAATTGGACTCTGTTAGGATCTAGCTGGTGTTAGGCAAATATCATTTTATTTCAAGTTTCTCTTTACTACAATAAGACCTTAGAAACAGTGGTGTAACCATGATTTCTAGACCAATGGGCGAAATAGGCAAGTTTTTTATTGATAGACCAAAACTTTTTTGATCCAACAAAGTACTAATAACGTAAAAACGAAAACATGCATAAGTTAGTGTTGAGGATTCTTCAAATATGTATCTGTGCAGCGCACACAGACATTTTCTCTATGAACTACATCATTTCACATCTTGGTTTTTCCTTTCTCTTCTATGCATCACTCTAAATGTATATATATATATATATATATATCTAGATATGTGTATATATCCGTGTGTGTTCTCTTCTCTTTGATCTATCCTTCTTTACCTTTATGTGGTTAATGTTTTCTCAATAAAACTGAACTCATGTTCACTCAAACTTACAGTTAAAATGACCTTAACAGAGTTATGGGTTCCGTAAAAGAATCCGACATTAGGTGGTGTCTTTTGCTAGCTTTTTTGTATTAACTAACAATTGAAGGTCATGCAACGGCAAATTGAGGAGATTGCTCATAATCGAATCAAATGAATGCTCTCACTCACAGACCAACTAGTTAAAAACATGAACTGCCAATAGCGTACATACATCGAAATGTTCGAGGTTCAATAAGTTTACAGTTTGTTATGTGCCTACACTACGAAACTTCATCAACCTTTAATTTTCTTTTTTCGTCACGGTTGGATGGACACACAACAGTTTACATAAGGAGAAGCAATATTACACACATTCAAAAGCAATTTGACAACAATTAAAATTTTTTATTTATAACCCCTATAATTGAAAAATGTTGTTTTAGACTTCGTAGAATTTACTTTTTAATATGCGTGATATTGTTTTTTCTTATGTAAATGGTCCTGCTTCATCTAATCATGACGAAAAAAAGAAAACTAACCGTTGATGAAATCTCGTAGTATGGGCACATAGCAAACTGTAAACTTCTTGAACCTTGAATATTTCGATGTGTGTACGCTATTGGCAGCTCATATTTTCAATTAGCTGGTTTGACAGTGAGATCATTCATTTAATCCAACTATGACCAATCTCCTTAGCTTACAGTATACGACCTTTTACTCTAAGCTATATAATGTTTGTCTTGTCTTTCTTTACTATGAAATATTTCTGGAAACAAAGTATGAGTCGATAAACAAGAAAAAAAATGAACCCTTTTGTGCAAGTATGTCAACATGATAACCTTTCATTTACAAGAAGTTACTCTTTCTGACTAGTTTTCGATTTCGAAGAAAAAATTCTGATTTTTTTCTCTGATTTTCAAGTTTTTCATCTGGTAATCCTAGTTAAAATACCAGAAGCAATACTTTTCTTCTTCTTTTCTTAATTGTTCACGGAAAGAACAAGTAAAAAGTGCATGTGTAATTCGGACGGAAGAATAAAAATAGAGTTACTATCTAATTCAAAAATAAATAAACCATTCTGAAAAAGTAAAACTTCAATGGACAAAAACTTACTCATAAAAATGACAATGGGCAAATCTTCAAATGAAATGAGCAATTGCTCATTTGCTCCTCCATTAGTTACGTCACTGCAAACTAAAAAAGATATGTGAGTTTCAGATTTTAGCCCCCAAAGGAGCTACACTAACAAACTTTTCTTGAAACCTAGCCATGTCAAATAACATTGCCCTAAAAGAGAATCGCTACCAACCATGACCAGAAGCAGTGTCATTTCAGATGTCAGATCGACCGGTTCAGTCAGGTCTGACCTATTCAAACTGGTACTAGTACTGACCTTCAAGAAACTAGACTAGCTCCATCTGTGTCATGTTTTAGTCAAAATAGCATCAGGAATGGTGGTTCCAACTTTAATCTCTTCTATGCATTCCAGATTTTAGTGCAATTACGGATTGCAAACGAAAAAGCTTTGTTTAATCTGCGGCATACTAAGACGAAGTTGCAGTCGATTCTGATACATGAATTGAAGCTTCACGTAAGAATCAATCAGCATGTTTGTTAGTAACTTATGTGTACAACACGTAGGACACAATATTCAAATCACTAGAATGAGTTGTGCAAAAAAGGTTTCGGAGAATAGGAGGCACCTTCCATATTCTCGACTTGTTCGTAAGCTGCTGATCTTCTTGCGTATTCACAAGAATGAAAATAGAACACGAATCAGAATTACACTTTTCATCGGAGTAACCGCCTCTGACATGACCAAATATCATCTAAATAGTGCAGACTAAATGAAAATAGTATATTCATAGTTACCTTTAAATAATGCCTAAAGATAATTGGAGCCAAAAATGAACGAGTGAATGTACTGACTATGAATTCAAATGAATTCAAAAGAATAAAAAAATATGAAGAGAAATACACTTGTCACCCTCTTTTATAATATTGATCACTGATGCATAGAATGCTTTCGTTTCATTTCAGTGAAAAAAACAAGTAGTCAGACAAACCAGCCTGCACGTTACATTTTTTTCTCGTCTCTCACGGAACGAATGTTAACTTTATTTAACATATGAAAAAAAAGTAAAAGCATATTTTCATCAACTCTCTTACATCAACGAAATACGTGCAGGTAGTTAGATATGGTAACATATATATATATTTATACACTGAGTACGTATTTCTTTTTTTTCTGCAATGAATGTAAATTTTTATTGTAACTTTTTCTGAATAATAAGGGCATTGAATGATTGGTTAAATTTGATTGAAGAATTTTTTTATACATTTCCATTTAGGATTCTCAGGTAAATAATAAAATATTAGAAACTGGGTTTTCATAAAGATATTTTATGTTTTTTTTAAAACGATTGAATCGATCGTATGAGGAACAGGGGCGAATTGAGGGAGATTTTAAAAATTAAAGGTGCCTTATATCGCATATATGTCTTATCATGTAAGAAAAATACATATGAAGACTTTCATAGATAATTTTTAGTTGTTACCTAAGAAAGCAACGAGAAGAAATTAAAATAAGTTTTATAAGTGATATAGCATTGATGCAAATAGATCAAATTCTCGACAGTAGTCAATTTAAAAACCAACGAGTACAATATTCCGAATTGACTGTGGATGTGGATGTGTTTTACTAACCCACACCCGTTCTCTGATTTGAATAGCTGTGAGTCACCCTGTGGAAAATCCCGATAGGTTGGCTCAATTTTTATTTTTCTCTCGCATCATTTAGTTATGCTCGAGATGATTGTGCATTTTATCGAAAAAACAGAAGGAGTTAGTTTAGTTTATTTCTTTCTTATTTTACTTATTCCGATAGTTGCCAAAGCTTTTACAAAAATAACAGAATGAAAAAAACGCCTTCCTTTTCTTTTTTTCATTGTATTATTTCGAGTATTGCTCTTCACTTTTTGAGAAAAACTTAGGCGGTTAGTTTTATTTATTTTTTTCTTTTATCGTTTAGTTATTTTGAGAGTGATCGCACATTTCATAAAGGCAATCGAATACCTTAATCTCATGTCTTTTTTCTCTGATAACTATGCTTGTATTTTACTTCATTGCTCTGAGAGAAACGGCAAAGAACTAAGCTTGTTTTTTTCTTCACTTTGTTATTTTGTTATTTCTGTTGTGTTTTATCAGAAAATTAGAATCAGACAACTGAATTTAATTGAACTTTTCTCGTTTTGTTATCCTGAGAATTGCCTAATATTGTATTTAAATGAATCGAATAAGTTGGTTTTGTTTTGCTCTCTTAATTCTGAGAACGATTGTTCTGCTATTGGAGTTGTTATGAAGAAAAGTAAAATAAGAGAATTCATTTTATTTTTATTCGTCTTTGTTTTACTGAAAATTCTTTTTACCATACCTATGGTCGTTCTTTGATAGGTAGACTAGGTTAGAAAAATTTTTTTTTTCTAAATCCACTGTTTCCGGTTGTGGATTCTTATGTCGAGGATACATATACTCCCACCCTCAAAATTTCAGCCCGGATAGGGTACGGCTGAAGTTATTGTAAAAAAAGGACTTGAGGAGGAGTATAGGTAAGTTTTTCACAAAAAGATATTTTTCATTTTAGGACATGTGATTCAAGTCCGTTTCTCATGCTGATTCTGAATATGATGTTTATTTTGATCATTAATGAAAATAGAGTGGTCAAACTTGTGAATTATGAGTCCATTTTCAGTACGATTTTTTCGTTGACATAGAAACATTCGATTTTCTCAATAATGAAGTAGTGTTTTAGAAAAAAACTCTTCATAAGTTGTTTTCTCATAGGCATATTGATTATAATCTACTAGAATAATTGTCTTTATCTCTCAAACAAAAAATCCGGATCGATGTGGAAGATCTAGAGATCAACATGAGCCTGAACGATTCCCGTCGAATTTACCAAGCGAACAAATTATGAGTATATATATATATATATTTGAATATATACAGTTCTACTCAGTTTTTGATGCTGAATTAGAGTTAAATATTACGAAGGGTGGATATCTTTTTGTTGTATAAACACATCCGTACCCCTATACCATGCCATAGCCTAAAATTTCCAGTAAAATGCCTATAACTTTGAACAGAAGACCTGTCAGCCCAAATCCTTTTAAGCTTTCTACTGTCTTGATGCTCTCTATCAAATGACTTATGAATGAAGGAAATCGGTATTGGACACCTCGGGCGGTTTCTTCGTAAGTATTATCAAAAATAGCTAATGGCCATGTAATTTTGAT